ACACACACACACACACACACACACACACACACACACACACACACCTTAAGGCTTCTGGAGCCAGGCAAAGCCCGAGCAGGGGCCTTCCACAATCCCACAGTACCTGGAAACAGTGTCCCAGTGTCCAGGGACTATCCGCCCTGGGGTTCTGCCCTTCCTGCCCTATCCCTCAACTTTGAGGGTTCACCCTCAAAGGGCACTGCACACAGTCACCCCATGTGCAGGGCATGCAGATCATTTCCGCTGTGCCTGGAGTTGTTTCTGTGACATGAATCTGATGCAACTGAAGGTTATATAAAAATTGTACTTGTTGGGCCAGGGACATAGCTCAGGGGCGAGAGGCTGCCTGGCAAGCTTAAGGTCCTAAGGTCGATCCCCAGTGCCCACCCCCCAAAGAAAAAGAAAAGAAGAGAAAGAAAAAGAAAAAAGTTGTACTTGTAGAAAAGGAGTGCAGAACTCCTGATCTTGTGAAACTTGTGGAAGACGAGTGAGCACACAAATTAAATGCTAGTAGACATTTTATGCACTCAGGATGTTATAAATGCTATATTAATATTGAAAATATTTCACTTAATAGCATCTGGAAAGAACACCAGAGAGCCTTGGGCAGGCTGCATCAGGCCGCAAGAGAATCACTCGCTTCTCACTAGCTCCGCGGTGCTGGCGATGCTGCTCTGCGACTGCCCCTTCGCCCTCACGGTCCCCTTCACCCTCACGGTCCCCTTCACCCTCACGATCCCCTTCACCCTCACGGTCCCCTTCACCCTCACGGTCCCCTTCGCCCTCACGGTCCCCTTCGCCCTCACGGTCCCTTTCGCCCTCACGGTCCCCTTCGCCCTCACGGTCCCCTTCACCCTCACGATCCCCTTCACCCTCACGGTCCCCTTGGCCCTCATGGTCCCCTTCGCCCTCACGGTCCCCTTCGCCCTCACGGTCCCCTTCGCCCTCACCATCACTTCCACACCTCCATTAATGGACCACTGCAGCAATCAAGAGAGCAGGCGTGCAAATGCATGAAGTTGAGCAAGCAGATAAAAGAGTGACCATCATATTCTTTGAAACTCAAACAGGGCACATAGTGTTCACAGAAGTTCTCCACGACTCCTTCTCCCATTGTTCCATGCTTGACTGGCGTGCTGTCGGTTACTCTCTCACTTTCCAGGTTTGCTGATGTCTTCATGTTGGCTTGCCTGGGTTTGGCCACAAACTGTGGCCTACATGACCTTGTCTGCCTCTCCCAAGTGCACGCACACCCTGCAAGCACCCAAGATGCACGGCTTCGGGGTCAGGGCCCCAGAAGAGGAGGACATGATCATCTGGGGGCGGCCATAGAAGGAAGCCCAGCGTCGAAGTTCCTCGAATTTCCCGGCGCCAGGCCTGTGTGCTCTCAGTCAGCTTGTGCCTCAGACCCTCCCTGCGAGACTCGGAGCGGCTGTCCATCATGCCACCTCTCTCCGTGGGTGGGGAGATGCGGCACACCGGAACAGGCAAAGGCAGCAGAAGGGGTGCAGCGCGGTTGCCATAGTTATTTCCGGAACGAAGCTGATTCAAATCATTTCTTAGGTGGGGCAGAGTGTCCCCTCTACCAATTTCATGAGAGCCAAAGAGAAGGTCGGGGTGGCGATGGCATTAAATCTGCTTGGGTGACTCAGAATGTGCGTTGGCACGGCAACGCGCCATGTGGCGGGCAGCAGACGTGTCGTGAGGTGGCAGTGGCATGTCTGAAAGGCTTGGCTTCAGCAAGCCGTGCAGAATTCGTTTCCTTTTAGTCTTTCAAGCAAAAGCGTTTGAAGCTAATCTTTTCAGCCCTTTCGCAGGGCCCTGATCAATAGGAAGAGTGGAACACATTAAATGCCTCCCCAGGGTCGCACCTCTCAGGGCCCTTGTTAAAATCATGGGTTGTGTTCTATGCCATACAGTAATGAGAATTTGAATTTCGTGTGGAGTCTCGAGTGTAAATGAGAAGTCGCCCCTTGTCCAGCTGCGTGGTGATGAATGTCCTTCTCTGCAATTTATTCCGCACTTGTCCCCATTAATTTATCCATCTATGCCCATATCCCTCACTCAACGGCTGGTCGGACAGCGGTGCGGAGCACCCATCGCATGCCATGCACCATGCTTGTCATTAAAATGTCAGAGATGGCCAGGCCCTGGTACTTCCCCTTTTGGATGCTGCTAAGCTGGAAGAGGAGATGGCCTGTAAGATGCGCAGAGATTGCCATGGCAACGGAGGAGGAAAAGTACAGGAGAAGACAGGGCGCTGAGGAAGGAAAGGTCCTGGGGGCAGAGGAATGGAGAAGGTTTGCA